GTTAACTGACGATTTGGCCACCTTCTCTGCGGCCCAGTGGCTGGTGCACAGCCGAGTGTTTTATGGGCTGGCACGTCTCCGGTTGCCCGCGACGGTTACTGGCGCTGCCCGCAGCGGCTCGGCCTTTCCCGTCTGCAGGAGGCAACGCCTTGCTTACTTGTCTCTCCTGCTGCTCCATGGGGTGCACCCCCTTGCAGGACCTTGGCACGACAACGTGAGTGAAGCTGTCCTGTCTCTGAAGTCATGTCCGTGGCATTTCTTTTTTTCACCCATCAAGAGAAATACCCGCTTGCACACACAGCTCACAAGTAGCTTACACGCTGCTGTCTTACACGGCCTGCGCACGTGATAAGTAAACAGTATGGATGCAGGATTGATCCGTAAGAATGCTGCTGCGGATTGATGCCACTTATCATGGCTTCCACACGGTTTGCAGGGCTCTGTCGTCGCAGCTACTCGCTAAAATAGCTGCAACTAGCAGCTCCAACGAGCCCTTCCTCAGCCTTCAGGGACAAAGCCCTGCTGAGTCCAGTAGAAGCTTTGGAGCCAGGCGAGGAGCTGCAACGCTATGGAGTGCGTGCTGTCTGGAAAGCCGAACATCTGGCGAACAGGCTGATGAGAGCCAGGCTGGGGGAGCTACGAGGCAAATGTAAGAGCTGCCCTGTAGGGTTTGTTGGTGACGCGTTGTAGGAGGTTGCTAGTTTGTTGGGGTTTTTACATTATGACTATTTATTAAAAAAAATGTGGACGCTGAAGATGGAACAATGAAAGGCCAGATTGACTTCAGTCTGACATAAAACAGCCTGGCTGGGAAGGGTGGTTTCTCCCTGCTTCCCATGAGTGTTTTCTCTCCCTGATTCCCCTCCCAGCTCTGCCCTTGGGAGCCCCTCGGAATGAGGGGAGTTTGTTCGCTCTCCACCACTGGAGAGTTTTTCCTTCCACCAAGCAGGGAATTCGTTTTGCAAAGGGAGAGGTTTGGGCTCAGGAAAGTTTATGCTCCTTCTCTTTCTTTTTTTGTTTTTTATTGTAATGATGACATATGGAAACTATTTACACAGGAGCATGCTCTGCTGCACTGAATGGGAATGCTGGAGTCCCGGCAGTATCGTTCTGGATGCCTTGTGTAAGCAGCCAGCTGGTTTTGCTTTTTTCTTTTTTTTTCTCTTCTCTTTTTTTTTTTTCCCCCCCTCTCTCCCTTTTCAGAGAACGTCTGGGATAAGTTACACAAGTGTGGAAGGAAGCTTTGCCATCTGCGAGCAGCTCAGTTCGTTTACTCTGTCGTGCCCCTCGTACCGTGAACTTCACAAAATACCTCTTTTCTTGTTTTGCCGAGGGGAAAGGCTCCTCGCTGTGAGTAGTCAGCAACTCTGACTCCTTTCCCATTACTTGTTCGTGTTTGCTGGTGAGCAGACTCCGGTACGTGCCAAAATAAGAGAGCATGGCACGGGAAGCCTTGCTTTACCACCACGCTCCTGCTTAAAGCCTCTCTGTCCCGCAGCTAAGCCTGCCACCGACTCGCACTCCGAAACATCCCTGAGACAGCGACAGGGAAACGCTTTCCCTGAAGCCTGAGCCACCTTCCTCCGAGGGGAGGGGAGAAAACGCTCAGTTCTGCAGAGAGCAGAGGAAAATCGTTTGCGTGTAGCTTTCCCCTGAGGAAGCTGCAAAATTGAGGATCAGCTTTCGGAGGGGAGAGAGGGAGGAACTTCAGATCTGCCTTGCCTCCCTCTCCCCCAGTCCACACGCCAGCGTGCCCGCTTC